ATATTTCACCACATTTATGCTTTATTTAGGCAGATGGCCACCCTTCCCCAGCCTGGCTCTGTGGGAGGTTTCTTCCTGTTAAAAGGGAGTTTTTCCTTTCCACTGTCGCCAAAGTGCTTGCTCGTCATAAGGGTCATATGATTGATTTCTGTATGTATTATTGTACCTTACAATATAAAGCGTCTTGAGGCTACTGTTGTTGTGATATATAAATAAAAATTGAATTGAATTAAATTATTCAATATTATGTATAAGTACATACATGTTGTAGCTTGATAATGTTTTTTAAAATCTCAGTGGAATGGTGACATTTTCAATCTTTACTGACATGAACTCTCCACACTAAGACACAAAACTGTAATATCAGTGTTTTTTTGCTGCACATTCAGTGCCACTAGAGGGCGCCTAATCACTGTTTAACACAAGGGAGTCCAAGGTGTAATTTTTGACAGTTTCACTTTTTTAAAAAAGTATTTTTATGTAAGGGGTAAGATATTCGTCTTAGTATTTTATATGTCTGTCTTGTAAAGTGGAACAGAGAAATGGTGGGTAACTGAGGGGCAAAAACAATATGGTCATCATTTCTTTCTGATATAAGGACATCAGGATATCATAACAGTAATGCCTTGAAAGGTTACTTTTAACCTGAAAAGCACAACCTTTAATAGTAAAAAAAACTCTTCTAAAAGTTCCATACAGTGCCGGTGTAGAGTATACACCATAGTAGAAAATATGAACACACAACAAGCCTTTAACAAGACAAGCTGGAACCACACAGGAAACACACCTTGAGGGAGAAAATGACAAAGAACAAAGGAGGACTCAGACATTGTTTACATACTAGGAAATCAGGGAGATGCAAAACATCAGGGAACACAGCTGAATGGAATCAGACTAACGGGCTGGGAAGTGGGAAGCAAAAACACTCGTGATACGTGGACTATCAAAATTAAACATGAGGCAACAAACACTGAGAACAGGACTAAGATGTGAACCATAAAAAAGCCCGAATGTCAACAATACAGAACTGTAATACAGATAAATACATTAAAAACCTGCAAAACAACCCAAAACTCAAAACTCTGGGATCATGAGAGAAGAAAATATATATTTTTTAAATTTCATTAGCAGAAGACAAACAATAATAACTAAATTGTTTGGAAAGAATAGCATTAAAATCAATTATTAATGCAAACTAGTGATAAACTACCCTCAGTGATAATTCACACATTACTCATATTATTCCTGCTAAAATCTAAAACCACATTTTCTAAACAGTGCATGTATTTTTAATAATTGAACTCTTACTGGTTTCCCTGTTGTTTACATCCTTTTCTGTCTACTTCAGATACTCAACTCATCCAAAATGAGTCTTCAGGTTTGCCACTGTGGCTGGTCCAAAAACACAAGTTACCAGGGCCTCAG